ATGCGCAGTTCAAGGGTCAGTTCTCGCTTGTCACTTTATATCTTCGTTAATATCCATCAGATGTTAATATCCATCATCGTTCACGTGATCAAGCCATATACAAGATGGCGGAGTCAAAAGGACCTGTCAACCGGCAAGTATATCTTCGTTGCTATTGGTTGGAAAGGAATAGGGAAACAAACAGTTGATGTATTCGTTTCGTTTCATTTCGTTACGTTTCGTTACGTTTCGTTACGTTTCGTTACGTTTCGTTACGTTTCGTTACGTTTCGTTACGTTTCGTTACGTTTCGCTACGTTTCGTTACTTTTCGTTACATGTCATTACGATTCGTTAAGTTTCGTTTCGTGGCCAAAAGGACCTAACTCTCGGCGGCATGTCACCAGGTGCAAAATGGTCAAAAGGATCTTAGGTAGACAAACGGAAAGATAGACAGACAAAAATACAGATAAAAGGACAGGCAGACGGAAAGAGGAGACAAATGTACGGTAAAAGGTAAAATCATAGAAACAATGACAAATGTCAAAATGCTAGGAAGGGGGAAACTAAAAAGGTATAAACTTTGGAGGAAAAAATACTAAGAAATCATACAGAGAGCAGTGAAGACCTAAGATGATGTAGAAGCCACTGAAGAAGAGGGAGAGCGAAACGTTGAAAATCAAAGAAATCCATAGACAACCTCCTTAAAATTTATTGATACGAGGATCCAAAAAGGCCTAAACATTGAATAATACTTAGAAATCATGTAGAGAGCAATACACGCCTAAGACGAAGAACAAAAAAAAACTATTGAAGAAGAGGAAGAGTGAAACGTTGAAATTCGTAAAAATTTATAGAAAAAAGAATGGAAAATCGTAGAAATCTTTAAAGAATACACGCTGCTGCATTGTCAAAGGGGCCGTAGTTGGTTAGTACAATAAATGTAATATCCAAGGAGACATTACTTTTCTGGATCTCTGAATACGGGAAGGTAGCAGTCTAAAGTTCAATATTTGAGAATAAGTCTAAGAAGTCATATTATTATTGTAGTCATACATTATCGTCGTTTTCTTATTACTTACAAGTACAATAAAAATACTCTACGTTCAGTGTCGATGGTAAAAAGGTAACAAAATACTAATCGTTTATTATCGTATGTAAACCTGCGCAGTACGTCACTGTTGTATGTCATTGTCGCAATCTTTATTTAAAAATAAAAACAATAATAATTACAATGTACCATCATCGTTTGTACTCCATTATCTTCACATTTAACATTTTCAACTTTAAAAATAATCGGGCAAACATTTATTATTACTATCTGTTTTTTTCAAGCTATCAACCTAAAAAAAAAATAAGACATATGTCATCCGTCACTATTAAAATAACTTTTTACTCACATTTTTCCGTATATTATTGTTCAGTTTCAGTATTTTTTGCATCATCTTCTGTCTTGTATGACTCGTTAAATCCAGAAAAAAATACCCCATTCATTTTCAGAAAGTAATTATCGATTGCTTTAATATTTAACATTTCTATACATATCTGTCCTAAAAATATGAGGTCAGGCATCCATCAGTATTAAAAACGTTTGTACTCACTTTTTCCGTATATATTTTATTGTTTAATTTCGGTTTTACATCTTCTATCTTAAAAATTATGGCATCTGTCAATAAAAATTCAATAAAAAAGGTCCCATTCTTAGACAGCATCTCTATACCGAAGGTATTTCTTAATTAGAAAGCAATTATCCATTGCTTTTATATTTAGCATTGTTATACATTTATACCCTAAAAATATGGCATCTGTTATCCGTCACTATTAAAAACGTTTGTACTCACTTTTCCTTTATTATTGACATTTTATTGTTTAGTTTCTCGTACATATTTTTGCATCATCTTCTGCCTCATATGACTCGTTAAATCCAGTAAAAAACCCCATTCATTTTCAGAAAGTAATTATTGATTGCTTTATATTTAGCATTTCTATACATTTATACCCTAAAAATATGACATCTGTCATCTGTCACTATTAAAAACGTTTGTACTCACTTTTCCTTTATTATTGACATTTTATTGTTTAGTTTCTCGTACATATTTTTGCATCATCTTCTGTCTCGTATGACTCGTTAAATCCAGTAAAAAACCCCATTCATTTTCAGAAAGTAATTATTGATTGCTTTTATATTTAGCATTTCTATACATTTGTCTTCTTTTTAACCTAAAAATATGACATCTGTCATCTGTCACTATTAAAAACGTTTGTACTCACTTTTTTCGTATATTATTATTTAGTTCCTCAAACATATTTTTGCCTCATCTTCTGTCTTAAAAAATATGACTCGTTAAATCCAATAAAAAGGCCGCATTCATTGTAGAAAGTAATTATCGATTGTTTTTATATTTAGCATTTGTATAATTTTTTTCGTTTTTCAACCTGAAAATATGACATCTGTCATTAAATCCAATAACAAAAATATGATATCTGTCATTAAATCGAATAAAAAAGTACTACTTACATTTTGTCCTAAAAATATGACATCATGACATCTGTAGCTAAATCCGCTTAATATCATCAACAATATGCAAATTTCTACAGAATTATCTTATTACTTCCATTTATTTTTTAGTTTGTTTTCCATTACAACCTATTTTCATCCTAAAAACAATATATCTGTCATTAAATCCAGCAATATTAAAATTTTTGTACTCACACATTTTCGTTTTCTTTGTGTTTTGTTTTTAAAAGATTTCTATATAATAATTATCGCTGAGACGTTGTTCAAAGCAATATTATCATTTCTTGCGGTTACATATCCTATAAAAACTCATCATATTGTTGGAATAAGTTAATATCTACGATGTATTATGAGACAAAAATATATATATATACAGGGAAATATCTATCTAAAAGTATACACAGTGTAATAACAAAATTAATTATAAAGGCTACCGAAAATGTTTTAAATACATACGTTTTGAAAACATCAAAAATAAGAAAAAGAAAAGAAAATATCTGTAGGCAATCTGTAGACAGATATCAATACCAATGCTAATAAATGTAAGTTTTCAATCGACAAACTCTTATTTACTTTTTGTACGACTAAGTCTAATGTTAGATTTCATTCAAAGTACAAGTATATTTTTCTACGGTTAATGCTAAGTTTTCATTTAACAAGCTCATGCGATATGAAGAGTATGAAGGACTTATACGAGAATATTTATAACAAAACATGGAACTTAAATCATATAAAATGACAGATGCATCTTCAAGTACCATTGTCAAAAAAAAAAGTCTATATTTACTAGAACATTTTTTTCGCAGGAAGTCACTAACGTAAAACAGAATCTCAAAACATTAAGTTAAAAGATAAGTTATGGTAAAGCAGCATTCTACATATATTAATGACGTCAAAATTTATATTAGCAGAAGTTTTTATAGAAATTGGAATAATAAAACTAAGGGTTTGTTTAGAGGAACAATTTCTACATTAGATTGTTCCTTTAAGGTATCTTGCAACATTGTTCATAAATAATTTCAAACGACAAAAATCGTCGAAAAACGCCAAAAATTACAAAAACATCGAAAATCAATGAAAGGTGTACACTTCTACACGTATAAATCACATCAGCGTCGTTCGTTTTCGTTCATTATCATATCATAGTTAGCATTGTTTAGATATTTAAACAAAGATATATCTGAAGACGAGCTGTAGATATATTCAGGTGAAAAGGTTTAGGAAATTTAATAAGCAGTTGATACAGAATAATATCGTTTTCTGTTCGACTCTAAAGCATGAGCTCTATAAACTATATTATATTTTAAAAAATAGTACGCTGGAATAATAACTATAAAAAAAAGGATATTAATGTTATCAAGAAAGTTAATACCATACGTTACTTAAGAAAAGCGTAAAGCCGTTAAATCTGGTTAATATGCAAAAACAAAAACCAAGATGAAATACGAGGGCTTCTCTCTACATACTCAACGCATTTGAATATTTGTAAATCAGAATTATAATACCTACATTACAAAAGTGTATGTATAACTCCATATCTTTATTGCTATTGGACCGATTCAAACGGAACAAACAGCTCAGGTGTAGGAGGAGCAACATAGATTAACGTTGAAGACAAAAACCATGTGCAAAGTTAGAAGGTCCTAAGTATCGGCTATTATCGGATAGAATTAAACAGGAAAAAATTACATTGTAACGAAAACGCGACGTAGATTAACGCTGAAGAGAAAAATTAGGCGCAATAGCAATAATACCAAAAGTCCGTATGGTAAATAAATACTTAACCAATAAACCTGACAATAATAAATCTTGATATAAAAAGCTGACATACTATTTGACAACGGCAGGCATTTAATTAGACTCGAATTATCTTCTTAGTTCCTCGTTTGTTTATTCTGTAACTTAAAAAAAAAAACAATCAATGACTTAGGAAGGTACTAAACAAAATTCTTTTGTTACAACTGTCATTCGGTGTTAAACACCGCTCACCTTTATTAGTATTGATCATATTTGTACTAAATTTAAACTGGTATTACGTCATTCATTGTATCTTTTGGCATTTTTGGAATTATGACTCATATTCTCGCGAATTCTGAAGTAGAGAACTCGAAAACGACTTAGGCGTGTATCACGTGGTCCGATTCAAACGGGAAAACGAGGGAGGGAGAGAAATTACCGATGAAGAGAAAAAATACGCGCTGTGAACTACGCCTATTATTGATTATCGAGGTGTCTAGCGAAGAGAATAGATGTAGAATTGAAGAGTTTGGTATAAAAGTTCAAAAACTTAGAAGAGACATAAAATTATATGAAGATAAAAAGCAAGTATTAAGAGATTTGACAAATTTAAGTCTTTGGGAGGATATTGAGAGATATCCACTTAGAAGAATCCTCAAATATGGCCATCTTAAAGGCTAATTTCGTTATACTTACTGTCATATTAAACAATATACTGTACACCAATGTACCGAATGGCGTACAGCAAATGGCGATACGTTTCGACAATCAAACGGAATGGCGAAAGATGAATTTCTCAACGGTAAATAATATGAAGCTAAATACGTTTTCGATACAAGTCAATGAGACAAAGAGATACAAATTAAAATTGATTTTTGATGATAGCACTGAAGGAGAATTCAAAGATTGGCATGCTGTTACGACTCCACCACCACCGATCGATTTGAGTGCCATGTCAGAGCCTAAATATTCTAAATTATATATAGTTAGTTGTATAACACTATCATCTACTTTGTTTATAATATTGAAAATTATTGTAAAAATTATAAATAAAAAAATTTACTCTTCTTGTAAAACGAAAATAAATGCATGAAATTAATAAGATGTTTCAATTAAAAAACATTTCCTTTTATAATCATTTATTAATAACAAAAATTACAAAGGTATGCAATTAAGAAACCATTGGCGTACACTTTCGATGTTCTTCTGGGTACATTTAAATGATCCATTGGCGTGGTACATGCAGGTTTTGGAGTCACTAATGAATTTTTTGTTGCACACGGTGTTCAATCGAACTTGCATACATCTACTATTATAGGAAATATTCCAAACACGTGACACTTTTTTAGTAAAAATTCAGCTTTTTCACTTCCTCGTACGTAAATGCAATCAGCATGGTTAAGTAAATATGTTTCAAAAATCGAGTTTAACTTGGAATAATCGACGTCTCCAGAGGAATAGCTGACTCCATGAATATGTTTCTCAACATATCTAACGCTAATTTTATTGGATAGCATAGAAACACGGAACGTTTAAACGAGACGAGACGCTTGACACATGACGTTGACAATGTCATCAAACATCATAGTGCGTTCTGAAGCGTTCAAAAACATCGTTTTGCCGTTTTTCAACGTTTGCGACGCTAGCATCTCGTGCGTCGCTTGCGTCGTGTACATCGTTAGCGTCGCTTGCAACGCAAGGGACACACGTTACAACAAGGGTAAATTAATACATACAAAAAAAAATGACAGCTAAATGACATTTGCAAAGTGTGAAAGAAGAAGCGATGTAGCCTCGACGTTGCAAGCTTATATCTCTCTTAATATTAAACTGATTCGAACGGGGAAAACGAAATTCTACGTGAGACGTTATAAAGTTGCCATTCGCAAGTACACATACGCAGTGGCAATCATTAGCATTTAAGATGGTCATATGGCCATGCGATAAGCGTTCACGTGAACGAAGGTTAGGTTAGAGTGTGCACGCTTCGAAATTCGGGCGCGAATTTCGCGTGCACACTCTAACCTAACCTTCGTTCACGTGAACGCTTATCGCATGGCCATATGACCATCTTAAATGCTAATGATTGCCACTGCGTATGTGTACTTGCGAATGGCAACTTTTTGACGTCTCACGTAGAATTTCGTTTTCCCCGTTCGAATCAGTTTAATATTAAGAGAGATATAAGCTTGCAACGTCGAGGCTACATCGCTTCTTCTTTCACACTTTGCAAATGTCATTTAGCTGTCATTTTTTTTTGTATGTATTAATTTACCCTTGTTGTAACGTGTGTCCCTTGCGTTGCAAGCGACGCTAACGATGTACACGACGCAAGCGACGCACGAGATGCTAGCGTCGCAAACGTTGAAAAACGGCAAAACGATGTTTTTGAACGCTTCAGAACGCACTATGATGTTTGATGACATTGTCAACGTCATGTGTCAAGCGTCTCGTCTCGTTTAAACGTTCCGTGTTTCTATGCTATCCAATAAAATTAGCGTTAGATATGTTGAGAAACATATTCATGGAGTCAGCTATTCCTCTGGAGACGTCGATTATTCCAAGTTAAACTCGATTTTTGAAACATATTTACTTAACCATGCTGATTGCATTTACGTACGAGGAATTGAAAAAGCTGAATTTTTACTAAAAAAGTGTCACGTGTTTGGAATATTTCCTATAATAGTAGATGTATGCAAGTTCGATTGAACACCGTGTGCAACAAAAAATTCATTAGTGACTCCAAAACCTGCATGTACCACGCCAATGGATCATTTAAATGTACCCAGAAGAACATCGAAAGTGTACGCCAATGGTTTCTTAATTGCATACCTTTGTAATTTTTGTTATTAATAAATGATTATAAAAGGAAATGTTTTTTAATTGAAACATCTTATTAATTTCATGCATTTATTTTCGTTTTACAAGAAGAGTAAATTTTTTTATTTATAATTTTTACAATAATTTTCAATATTATAAACAAAGTAGATGATAGTGTTATACAACTAACTATATATAATTTAGAATATTTAGGCTCTGACATGGCACTCAAATCGATCGGTGGTGGTGGAGTCGTAACAGCATGCCAATCTTTGAATTCTCCTTCAGTGCTATCATCAAAAATCAATTTTAATTTGTATCTCTTTGTCTCATTGACTTGTATCGAAAACGTATTTAGCTTCATATTATTTACCGTTGAGAAATTCATCTTTCGCCATTCCGTTTGATTGTCGAAACGTATCGCCATTTGCTGTACGCCATTCGGTACATTGGTGTACAGTATATTGTTTAATATGACAGTAAGTATAACGAAATTAGCCTTTAAGATGGCCATATTTGAGGATTCTTCTAAGTGGATATCTCTCAATATCCTCCCAAAGACTTAAATTTGTCAAATCTCTTAATACTTGCTTTTTATCTTCATATAATTTTATGTCTCTTCTAAGTTTTTGAACTTTTATACCAAACTCTTCAATTCTACATCTATTCTCTTCGCTAGACACCTCGATAATCAATAATAGGCGTAGTTCACAGCGCGTATTTTTTCTCTTCATCGGTAATTTCTCTCCCTCCCTCGTTTTCCCGTTTGAATCGGACCACGTGATACACGCCTAAGTCGTTTTCGAGTTCTCTACTTCAGAATTCGCGAGAATATGAGTCATAATTCCAAAAATGCCAAAAGATACAATGAATGACGTAATACCAGTTTAAATTTAGTACAAATATGATCAATACTAATAAAGGTGAGCGGTGTTTAACACCGAATGACAGTTGTAACAAAAGAATTTTGTTTAGTACCTTCCTAAGTCATTGATTGTTTTTTTTTAAGTTACAGAATAAACAAACGAGGAACTAAGAAGATAATTCGAGTCTAATTAAATGCCTGCCGTTGTCAAATAGTATGTCAGCTTTTTATATCAAGATTTATTATTGTCAGGTTTATTGGTTAAGTATTTATTTACCATACGGACTTTTGGTATTATTGCTATTGCGCCTAATTTTTCTCTTCAGCGTTAATCTACGTCGCGTTTTCGTTACAATGTAATTTTTTCCTGTTTAATTCTATCCGATAATAGCCGATACTTAGGACCTTCTAACTTTGCACATGGTTTTTGTCTTCAACGTTAATCTATGTTGCTCCTCCTACACCTGAGCTGTTTGTTCCGTTTGAATCGGTCCAATAGCAATAAAGATATGGAGTTATACATACACTTTTGTAATGTAGGTATTATAATTCTGATTTACAAATATTCAAATGCGTTGAGTATGTAGAGAGAAGCCCTCGTATTTCATCTTGGTTTTTGTTTTTGCATATTAACCAGATTTAACGGCTTTACGCTTTTCTTAAGTAACGTATGGTATTAACTTTCTTGATAACATTAATATCCTTTTTTTTATAGTTATTATTCCAGCGTACTATTTTTTAAAATATAATATAGTTTATAGAGCTCATGCTTTAGAGTCGAACAGAAAACGATATTATTCTGTATCAACTGCTTATTAAATTTCCTAAACCTTTTCACCTGAATATATCTACAGCTCGTCTTCAGATATATCTTTGTTTAAATATCTAAACAATGCTAACTATGATATGATAATGAACGAAAACGAACGACGCTGATGTGATTTATACGTGTAGAAGTGTACACCTTTCATTGATTTTCGATGTTTTTGTAATTTTTGGCGTTTTTCGACGATTTTTGTCGTTTGAAATTATTTATGAACAATGTTGCAAGATACCTTAAAGGAACAATCTAATGTAGAAATTGTTCCTCTAAACAAACCCTTAGTTTTATTATTCCAATTTCTATAAAAACTTCTGCTAATATAAATTTTGACGTCATTAATATATGTAGAATGCTGCTTTACCATAACTTATCTTTTAACTTAATATTTTGAGATTCTGTTTTACGTTATCGACTTCCTGCGAAAAAAATGTTCTAGTAAATATAGACTTTTTTTTTTGACAATGGTACTTGAAGATGCATCTGTCATTTTATATTATTTAAGCTCCATGTTTTGTTATAAATATTCTCGTATAAGTCCTTCATACTCTTCATATCGCATGAGCTTGTTGAATGAAAACTTAGCATTAACCGTAGAAAAATATACTTGTACTTTGAATGAAATCTAACATTAGAATTAGTCGTACAAAAAGTAAATAGGACTTTGTCGATTGAAAACTTACATTTATTAGCATTGGTATTGATATCTGTCTACAGATTGCCTACAGATATTTTCTTTTCTTTTTCTTATTTTTGATGTTTTCAAAACGTATGTATTTAAAACATTTTCGGTAGCCTTTATAATTAATTTTGTTATTACACTGTGTATACTTTTAGATAGATATTTCCCTGTATATATATATATTTTTGTCTCATAATACATCGTAGATATTAACTTATTCCAACAATATGATGAGTTTTTATAGGATATGTAACCGCAAGAAATGATAATATTGCTTTGAACAACGTCTCAGCGATAATTATTATATAGAAATCTTTTAAAAACAAAACACAAAGAAAACGAAAATGTGTGAGTACAAAAATTTTAATATTGCTGGATTTAATGACAGATATATTGTTTTTAGGATGAAAATAGGTTGTAATGGAAAACAAACTAAAAAATAAATGGAAGTAATAAGATAATTCTGTAGAAATTTGCATATTGTTGATGATATTAAGCGGATTTAGCTACAGATGTCATGATGTCATATTTTTAGGACAAAATGTAAGTAGTACTTTTTTATTCGATTTAATGACAGATATCATATTTTTGTTATTGGATTTAATGACAGATGTCATATTTTCAGGTTGAAAAACGAAAAAAATTATACAAATGCTAAATATAAAAACAATCGATAATTACTTTCTACAATGAATGCGGCCTTTTTATTGGATTTAACGAGTCATATTTTTTAAGACAGAAGATGAGGCAAAAATATGTTTGAGGAA